ATTAAAGAACCGACTGCAGAAGAATAAGGAAAACTAGACATAGCTAGTTGCTCTTCCTTAGACACTGGACAAGATTTCTTACTTAGATGAAAATGGTTGACAAGTGAACTGCTAACTAATTTAGCATATTGCATGTTGAATCTACCAAGCACTCGTTCAACATACTTTTCTTGTGACAACCACAGCTTTTCAGCTCTCATATCCCGGATAATATCCATACCAAGAATCTACTTTATTGGACCTAAATCCTTCATATCAAAGGACTTAGATAATTGTTCTTTCAACCCGCAAACCATACTAGCATCTTGTCCTACAATCAATATATCATCAACATATAATAATAGGATAATGAAGTTACCATTAGAAAATTGTTTAACATACACACAAGAATCCGTTGTTGTTCTTTTATAGCTATGACTCACCATAAAAGAATCAAGCTTCTTGTATCACTGTCGCGGAGCTTGTTTCAAGCCGTACAAGCTTTTCTTCAACTTGCAAACTAAGTGCTCTTTCCCTTTCACTTCAAAACCCTCAAGCTGATTCATATAAATGTCTTTTTGCAGATCACCATGCAAAAATGCAGTTTTAACATCAAGCTGCTCAAGTTCAAGATTCAAACTAGCTGCCATTCTAAGTACTACTCGAATAGAACTTATTTTTACAACTGGAGCAAAAATCTCATCAAAATCGATGCCTAATTTCTGAGAAAAACCATTTACTACCAATCGAGCTTTGTACCTCACTAGTTTGTCACCATCTTTTTTCAACTTGAACACCCATTTATTCTTTAATGGCCTCTTTCCGGTTGAAAGTTTAGCAAGATCATAAGTACCATTCTTTCGCAATGATTCCATCTCTTCTTTCATTGCTTTTAACCAGCGCTCTCTATTCGGAGTAGCCTGCACATCTTGAAAGTTTTCTGGCTCCCCTTCACTAGTAACTAAAATAAAATCTAAACTTGGATACCTGGTAGATGACCTGCGCTCTCTAGTAGATCTCCTGGGCTGAGACTCTACATCACTTGATGCCGAAGGTAGCTCCCCCTACTCAACACTCTCAGGTAGAGAGTATTGCTCCCCATGCTCAAAACTAATAGCATCTGGCTCATCACCAACTGTAGCTGGCTCATTCATATCCCTAAGTTCTGTTTTTTGTTCATTTTCATCATCTGTGGCTCTTTCCTGTGAAATCCCTATCGGTGTTGAAACATCACACTCAACAGTAACCTGTGTAGTCTTTTCATTTTTCTCAAAGTCTGCTATGATTTTTTTTTCATGAAAGACCACATCCCTGCTTCTGATTGTCTTTCTCTTTACTAGATCTCATACCCTGTAGCCAAATTCCTCATCACTATATCCTACAAACACACACTGTGTAGCTTTACTGTCAAGCTTTGATCTCTGCTCTTTCGGCACATGCATGAATGTTTTACACCCAAAAACTTTCAAGTGAGAGTATGAAGTATCTTTCCCTGTCCACACTCTTTCTGGAATGTCAAAGCCCAAAGGAACTGATGGTGATCTGTTAAGTAAATAACAAGCTGTGTTGACTGCTTCACCCTAGAATGGCTTTGGTAATTTTGTCATCCTCAACATACATCTGACTTTTTTCACAATGGTGCGATTCATTCTTTCAGCTATACCATTATGCTGCGGTGTTTCAGGTTCTGTCCTCTCATGCCTGATCTCATGCTTTGAGTAATACTCTTCAAAGCCTTTAGATGTGTATTCCCCACCATTATCAGTTCGAATACACTTCAAGGGTAACCTTGTCATCCTTTCAACCATGGCATAAAATTTTTGAAAATACTGCAGTACCTGACTTTTGTATTTTAACATATACACCCAAGTCTTACGTGAAGCATCATCAATAAAAGTAACAAAATATCTGCTACCACCTAATGACTCAACCTCAATGGGACCACATACGTTAGAATAAATTAATTCCAATCTATTTTCTTTTCTCTAAGAACTTTTACGAAAAAAAATTCTATGATGCTTACCAAACAAACAATAATCACATGAATCGAGAGACATACCTTTGATCAAAAGAATGAGAGAGTGCCTTGCCAAAATCTGTAACCTTTTTTCACTCATGTGTGTCAGCCTCCTGTGCCACAAGTTTGCTGAAGCATCATTTTCAACTATATTTACGTGGTTACCGTTCAATTGCATCCATGTCTTATACATTGTGCAATATAGTTTTTCCCTTGCAACTACCATAGATCTTTTGAGAAGCTTTCATTGTCCATTCTTTTATCGGCTTTTATATCCCTCCTTATCAAAGATATTAATAGCAAGCAAGTTCATTCTTATATCTAGAATGTGTTGATATCTCTCAAAGTCAACATGTAGCATGTACTAGTTTGTACAACAATATCACCAATCCCAATAATCTGTGACACACTTTTGTTTCTCATCTTGGTACAACCAAAGTCTCCTACTTTGTAAGTTGTAAACAACTCTCTCTTATACATTGTGCAATATAGTTTTCCCCTTGCAACTACCATAGATCTTTTGAGAAGCTTTCATTGTCCATTCTTTTATCGGCTTTCATATCCCTCCTTATCAAAGACATTAATAACAAGCAAGTTCATTCTTATATCTGGAATGTGTCTGACATCCCTCAAAGTCAACATGTAGCCTGTACTAGTTTGTACAACAATATCACCAATCCCAATAATTTGTGACACACTTTTGTTTCTCATCTTGGTACAACCAAAGTCTCCTACTTTGTAAGTTGTAAACAACTCTCTCTTAGGAACACAATGATATACCATTCATGTGTCAATTATCTACTCAATGTCGGGATCACTAACATGATTACAATCACCATGTGTACAAATCAAAGTAACTGAATCACTATCTGAATTCACTGCTGTAACATTGCTATCATCTGAACTCTTGCCTTTTTCATCTTTTCGCTCTTGCTTCAAGATTTTACAGTTTCGTTTTATATGACCCGTCTTATCACAATGAAAATACTTCACTTTACCTCTAGACTTGGATCTATGTTTAGACTTACCACGGCCTTTTGAGTCCTGACCTTTGTCGATGTTTCTACCCCTGTTCTCTGTGACTAGAGCTTGATTTTCAGGGTCTACATCTTTTTACCTTACTTCTTCAATAAGCATACTATCTTTTACCATCTCCAATGTCACCTTATAATCAGAAGCTGAATTAAGAACAGTCACAACTAGAGTATTCCAGCTGTCTGGCAATGAACCCAAAAGAAATAACGCCTTCATTTCATCATCCATCTTAAGCTCCATAGTAGTCATCCGATTAAATATATCTTAAAAATCACTCAAGTGCTCTGTAACAGATCGTCCATCCCTGTACTGTAAAGTTGTAATCTTTTTAACAAGCATAACTTTATTCATACATGTTTTTCTCTCATACAATGCTGTCAATTTTTCTCAAACAATGTGAACATCTGACTCATGCGTTACATGATGGAACACGCTGATATCAACCCATTTTTTGATTGTAGCCAACGTCTTTCTACCTAGCTTTTTTCAGCTTTCATCTTTCATATCTGCTGGTTTAGCCGAATCACCCGATACTGACTCATACAAATCTTTGCAGTATAGATGATCCTCCATCATAGGCTTTCAAATTGAATAATTCGATGCTGTCAATTTTATCATGAAACCTGTATCACCTTTCATGATCTCAAATAGAATTTACTTCTATCCTAGATTGCTTCTGTATCGATGTCTCAAAATAACCCTCGCTCTAATACCACTTGTTGCGCCTGAAGCAATAATCACAACAATACAAAAGCAATAGACAACAATCAATAATCAAATACGCAGGAAAAATAAAGCATACCAAGATTTACGTGGAAAACCCTCCAGTGTAGAGGGAAAAAATCACGGGCCACCAGAAAAATCTTCACTATCAAATAATAGTTATACAAAGTTCTTATCTAGCTAAAACTAGAGCTAATCAATAACTAGAGAAACAATTGAAGAAATCTCACCAAATAAGTGACTCAACAAATACACCATGGATTTGTTCCTAGAGAGCTTCAAACCCGATCTTCACCGTTCAGAATGTAGAACTCTGAATCATAAACCTCCTGACAGGGTTCTAACTCAATCGGACCATGGATCAAATTCCGTTCAACCAACTCTCCCTTCTCCTTTTTCTCTTTTTGCTTTTCCTGGCTTTTCTTTTTTCTCTGCTTGGTTTTCGACACACACCTAAAACAACTCCACCTCTTTTTTATTAAGTAGCTAGGGCTCTGTGTAAAATAAAAGATCAAGGCTCATGGCCTTTACTTGGTCCAAAATCACTTACATGGGACTGGACCCCATTTTCCTAACACTCCTACCAAATTTGCTGACGATAAACCATCAGTAGCTTTTAGGATGCTTTGATATGTTAAGTTTAAAGGCATGTTTTCAGTATATATTGATGTAGGCTGCTTTCTTTCCTTTCTAGACCAAAAGAGAAAGAGGAATGCTAAAGCTACTCCTAACAGCCCAAAAGAAACAGAAATTGCTAATTTAAGTGAATTGATCGATCTATTCCTAGAGCTTTTCAAGTTACATTCGGGCAAATGGAAATCATTAGTGCCTCCACAAAGCTTATTGTTTCCATCAACGAATGTAGCACTTGCGTTTTTAAAGACACCTTCAATAGGTAACAAGCCTTCAAAATTATTGTGGGAAAGATTCAAATATTGCAGTGACTTAAAACTGGATAAAAATTTTGGAATTTCACCTGAGAAATTGTTGCTTGAAATGTCTAACCTTATAAGAGATCTCAATGAACTCAAAGATGAAGGAAACGACCCTTGGAAGTAATTGCCATCCATGAATGGTTGCTCTAACACCATACAACTACCAAGACTTCCCGGAATCTCACCTGATAACATGTTCTTAGAAATACGCAATACACCAAGATTTTTCAAATTTCCTACTTCAATGGGAAGCACACCAGTCAAATGGTTTGAAGATAAGTCCAATGCAATGGACAAGGATGAGAGACTGGCTACTTGGGGAGGTATGGAACCACTGAGGTTGTTATAAGAAAGATCCAATTCCAGCAAATTTTCACACTCACCAAGGCTTGAAGGAATACTGCCTTGAAGATTGTTGTGACTTAAATTTAGGCTAATCAACATTTTTAGATCTCCAAAAGAAGATGGAATACCTTCGGAGAGAGAATTGTTTTGGGCCTTAAATTCCTGTAGCTGTTGAAGCCTCCCAATAACAGAAGGAATGGCACGGGACAATTGATTGTTCCATATAGTAAGCGGCTCCAAGTTGATAAGATTTCCAATAGTGGCTGGAATTGTTCTTGATATTTCATTGACATCGAGATTCAAATGTAAGAGATCAGTCGACAAATTGCCTATGCACTCAGGTGTTGACCCTCCGAAATTGTTTTCATTGATACTCAATCTCCGTAGCATTCTTGCATTAGTCAAAGAGCAGGGAAAGTTCAAGTCATTTGCTCCTCTGCTTCCTAAAAGGTTTCCATCAATGCCTTACCAATGTAGCTTCGTCAGCCTTTCAAAGGAAGGCAAGCTCCCGATAACGAGGTTTAGAACAACTTGAAGTTGTATGAGATTTGAGGCATTGGATATTGAAATAGGGAATGGTCCAGTAAGTAGGTTATTGCTAACAAGAAAGTGTTCCAGATACGGCATATTAACGCCTAAGTCCTAAGGAAGAGTACCTTCAAGATAATTATCGCCAATATCAAAAGTTCTGATATTAGACAAATTACAAAAGGAGGAAGGAACAGTACCCGAAAAATTGTTAAGCCCCACAGAAAAAAATGTGAGCCTTTTCAGTTGGCCAAGAGTTTCAGGGATCACTCCAACGAGTTTTTTGAAAGTAGAGAAAGTTTCACCAAAGATGATACGTTCCCTAACAAAGGTGAGATTCTCCCACTTGTTTCCTTTCAGATTTAAAATGGTTAGGTTTGGCAAGCTCTAGAGCTCACTGGGGATTTCACCACCAATTGAGTTTGCGGCTAGATGATATATTCTCAATCTACGTAAACGACCAATTTCTTGAGGAATTTCATGAATGAAACTATTATTTTTAAGGTTTAACACCTTCAGAAAGCTAAAGTTTCCAATAGATGGTGATATGGATCCCGTTAGATGTTGGGATTCCAGGACCAACTGGGTGACTCTCTGACGTCGACTACCGCAACTAACACCATACCACTGGCAGTAGTAGACGGTATTGTTCCACAACCGCAAAATGCCGAGTTGATTGTTGGAGATCTTGGCCTTGAACTCAAGCAAAGCTTGTTGATCCTTCACATTTCCACCACCTTCAGAGGCTGCTAAACCAAGCAACCCAGGACTTTCCAAATTGAAGCATAAGAGGAGAACGACAACATATATTGGAAAAAGTACCGACCAAAACATGATTTTCCAATGCAAGTCTGATGGCGAGACTGGCAACTAAATTTAAGTAATCAGGTTTGTAGGCTTTCAGGATGATAATTTACATGAACAATCCCAGTTAAGATTTTATAATGAAAGGCTGAGGACTTGAGAAAACATTACCAATGGAGGCATTTAGTAAGAGTGACAGCGGTTCGGATGGGCTCACTTTTTTCAAGTAATGCATAATTTATAAATTTTTTAAATTTGATCTAAATTTAAATTTATTTTTTTAATTAATTTAATTTAATTTGAATTTATTTTTTTAAAATCAATCTGATTTAGTATAAAATTCAATTCGACTCAATTTTGAATTAATCAAAATTTAAAATGATTATCAAATATTGAAATATTTCAGAAAAAAATTATATAAAAAATAATTATTTTATTTTATAAAAATTTAAAAATGTATAAAAATTAAATTAAATTTTTTTATTTTTATATTTAAATTTTAAATTTGATTCAAATTTAATATATATTTAATTTTAATTTTAATTCAAATTAATTAAAAAAACTTATTTAAATTAAATTAAATATTATAATTTTGAATTGAATTTTAATTTTTACCCTTAATATTTAATTGACATTGATAAGAAAAAAAAAAACCATGGCCACAAGCTAAAACAGTTGAGAGTAGATGGTTGACAAGTGAAGTGAAGAATGGCCGTGGTGTTGACCCTTCGATGGAAATTTTGTTTGGTATTTCTAGACTTTACTTGAATGGCCGTGGTGTTGCCCCTCCGATGGAAATTTTGTTTGGTATTTGAGTATTTCTAGACGTGACTTAGAATGCGAGGCTGCCGTCGTCAGACTTGAATTCGAGGACATTGGAGATGGCCACGGTGAAGGGTGGGTAACTTAATTCGTTTTCGATGCTCTCGATCCGATTCAATTTTATAAAATTAATTTTTAATTTTAAAAATTAAATTTCAAATCAAATAATGTTAAAGAAATATCGAATTTAAACTTTAAATAAATTCGATTCAATTCGACGTAATATTATATAAAAATAATTTTTAAATTAATTAATTAATTAATTATATATATTTAAATATTTATATCGGATCGAATTCAAGTTTAAATATTAAAAAAATAAAAAAATTTAAATCGAATCAAATTCGAATTTAATAAATATAAAATTAGATCGAATTCGAAACGAAAAAAATACATCCCTACACTCAATTGAAGTTAGAGAAAAGTGTATTTTGGGCCAAATAAGTCATAACCTACTGTTCCTTTTTTTTAACAAGAGATATTTTCAAAATCCGTTTGACTTGCTTTTCTCAAATATTTATGTTGATGTGATGAAGTTAAAATTTTACTTTTGAAATTGTTTCCAATAAAAATACGTATAATCGTATTATATACTATTAAAAGATATGTGATTATTTGATAAAATTTGATAACATGTAATTTTATATAAATAATTTATATTATTAACACGTAAAATTTTTTTTAATTATAATTATTTATCAAATAATAATATTATTTAAATTTTAAAAATATTTAAATTTTAAAAAATTAAACTTATTTAATTTTTTATATTAAATAATTTATAATTTTTTTATTTAATCGAGATAAGATTTTTGAGATCATTATAATAAAAAAATTAAAAATTAATATCGCATTTAAAATTAACCTAAAATTTTCTATGTATAACATGGATACATTCTTCATCTTGGTTCTTGCATTTAAATTATGTAAATATGCCATAAAACAATTTTGAAATTTTATTTTATTTATTTATTTATTTTATATGCTATGTAAAGTGTAGATATATTTAAATATTATCTTTTTATTTATTATTAAATTTGTAATATAAATTTTTTATATTTTTATTTTAAATCAATTGATTTTTACATAATAGTCAATAAAAATAAATACATGAATGAAATATGGTGTATTGTCGTAATTTTCTCATAAACTGACAAGATCGAAGGCTGACTGACTGCATGGTACGAAAGAGAAAGAAGAAGCAGAAGAAGAAGAAAGAGGACACTGATCAGGACGAGAAGTTGAAAACGAAGCGTGATAGCAGCCATTTTCTAAGGGATCATCCGAAACAATAATCTCCAAGGAAATTAAAACTTCGACTATGGCAATGGTGGGGGCGTTGGGTAAGCTAAACCCCCAAGATTTTGAAAAATCTCTTTAAAATTCTTATATTTATATATTATATGTATTAAATAAATTTAAATGTTCCTTCAAATTAAAAGATTAAAGTATATTTATTTATTTTACTCACCAATTATTATTTATAAATACTTAAAATTAATTAGTTTCTCACAAATATTAAGATACAATTATGTGAATTTTAAAAAAATTAATTTAACTTTTTAATTTTTAACTTACATTTTTCATTAATCAATAAATAAATTTAGATTTTTTTCTTTGATCCACTTATTGATTGTCAATATCAAAAAAGAAATTATTAAAATATTTAGTTCAAATTTAATTATTAAAAATTTTATTCTTTTAAAAAAATGCCACTCACAATTTTACATACGATTATTTATTTGATATATTTTACTTCTTTATATTTTTATTTATAAATTGATAAAATTTATGATTTTTTATTATTTATATATATGTTTTCTGTTAATTAAATAACATAACTCAAATGAAATATTATATATATATATATATATGTAATATTCGACTTTTAGTTGATTACTTCAAAATTAAATGTGAAGATCCACCGTTGATTATGGTTATGGCTATGGCTATATGGCAATGGCAATGGCTATACGTTGTGCATGAATTATTTATATAGGGAATAGTAATACTATTTCTGATCAAAGAAGGTTTAGGAAAGCAATTAATCCCATCCCGCTTTATATTGGAATTAATGAGATAATTTTATTATTATTATTATAGAATAATTACAAGAGATAATTCTAAATACCAAAAGAATTAGGAGTACTAATTCCAAATAAAAAATAATTAGGAGCCTTAATTCTAATTCACCTTTCTGTGCGTCATATATTTTTAAATTATTACAAAGTATATAAAGACCAAAATGATTGAAGTAAAGGATTCAAGGTAAATTAGAAATTAAAAAAAGATCAAAATGATTTTGCAAATATTATTTAACAAATGAAGTAAGAATTTAAATCTTAAAAATAGAAAATCAATAAAAAAAATTAATTGTTAATGGCCAGATTGTGCATCAAATTGCTTTGAGGAGAGAGATTTATTAAGAAATTAAGATTGAATCTAATTTATGATGTTTTATCTATTTCATCTAAATTATAAAATAAATAATTTCAATTCAAGATATTTATATAAAAAATTTAAATTAATTGTAAATTGCAATGAGGATTGTGGATAAAGATCTATATATGAAACGTAGCTGATTTAATTCACTTCTTACGATACAGCATTTCAATTTATATGCCTAGTATTTAACCAATTGCTTCTGCTTCAGCCACTGCTTGGCTTGGATTCCACCACCTCTCCCTCGTCATCAAACTTTTCCTCCCCCGATTCTTGCTCAACAAACAGATAATTCATATACCCTTTTGAGCTGGAAGCTGGCTCTGATGGACTTCTTTGATATTTTCTTCCAAGCTGTTCATCATCACTTGAACTTTCAGTTTCAACGGGCATCTTTAACTTGCCTTTGGAAGCAGCCTCCTCTCCTTCAGAATCTGAAACAGCTTCCCTCTCACTGCTACTTTCGTCAGAAGATGTGTTGCTTAAAGTGTGGAAAATGGTAACACTTTCTTTCTTTGCCCTTTGGAAAGAATAGCTCCTTGTTCTTCCACCATATAATGGAAGAGATTTTGATTTTGAACCTCCTGCTCTATCCCTACCCAAACTGTAGGTTGTTGACAGCTTTCTCTCAATGCCTTGCCTTTCTCGTACCAATTCACCAAGTTTTTCTGTTGCTTCATTGGCTAATGCTTCCTCTGCATCCTCATGCTCAAGTTCTGTAATTGTCCTATCAAATGCTTTCTTCTTAAGTTGGAGAGATCTCTGAAAGGCCAAAATGTCAAAACATTTGGTGTACATATTATTACCTTTTCGATCTCATTGAGAGTCTTCTTTACATATAACTTACTCGCTTTTCTAGAAAGCGTCCAAGGCCTTGATCTTGAAGCTTCTTTTTCCTCCAAAAGATACAACAGAACCACATGACTGCAGCTAAAACTACCAAGAGCAGGGACTCGAATAACAGGAAGAGAATTATGGCCCTTCTATTACCTGGAAGTGAAGTGACAATTTGGTCATTCTTCACAATTTAGCTCATTTGATTCTAGAGGTAATTTGAGTTGCAGGTTACCTGTGTAGATACTGACGCGCTTGCATGTTCCTTGGGAGCAGCTAGATGCAAGCTTCAGAGCTGGTGACAGATTAAGAGTCTGTGTCAATCCAGTAACTAAAGAAACTAGAAAACTTGATGAGGTGCTTATAGGAACAATTACCCTCGCTGCGACAAGGTAGCCGGTTGCCAGTGTCTACAAATCAATCACAAAGACCAGCATGTAAGTTTAATGACAACATTGCTTAGTTAAATTTCTAGAGAATTTAAGCCATTCTGTTCATAGGCATGTGTTTATAAAATTAAAGAAGCATTGGTTTCAAACTTCTTTAAAAGATTAAGTTTCTATCTATGAGAGCTCTAAACCTTTTCCATGCAAGTTGCAGAATAGGATTGGGATATTACAGACAGCTTCATGCCTACATGCTTACATTGTAGATGGCGAAAGAGTTTTGTACAATCAAAGTTTCCTATCTTAAAACACATGTTTTCTAGAAAGAGCTGTGGTAATGGATTGATCAGATGATTCAAGTCTCCTTATATTGAAATGGACGTTAACGGTGTTCGCATGGCAATATTGATTTTAAAAGTCATGGAAGTAGGATAAGCATAAACTGGAAGAAGCAATAGGTCGAAGAATCTCACTCGAAGCAGTGACAAAAGCAAGAAGCATGCCCTCATCCAGTACAAAGTTCTGCAGATCACTCTTAGACAATGAGGATAAAAACGGGCCTGATAAAAACAACCATAAAAGGTACTGAATATGCATGCTGAAACTTGTATATGAGAATGTAAATCAATTATACAATCCAAATAATGATGATTAAAAAAAATGTACATCACCTTGATGGCTTTCAGACCAGTAGATTTTGCCAGTAGCTGGAACCATCAAGGTGAAGACTGAACCTTTTGGTTTCATTGCTGAGACATAAGTGTATTGGTCGTTCACGTGGATAACCTTTCCCTCCATTTCTGTCTGACAAAAATATACTGCATAGCCAGAGCAATCAAGGAAAGGACTAAATTGGATCACAGAATCTAATGCAGATACTTTTGGAAACTTCTTGAGAGTCCCAGTTGGTGAAAATGAGTATAGGAATCCATCCAATGAACCAATTGTCACCCAACCTGTTTAAAAATTTTGATGTACCAGTGTTGTTTTAGTAGAAAAATAAGAATGAGAAAGTGAAAGACAGTTTTGAAGAAGCTAAATTAGGAGGTAAAGAAGTAAAACTTGACCATAAGAATCAACCAGTGCTGAAGATTCAGCAGTACTTAGTGGCCCAATACTTTTCTGCCAGAGGACATTTCCTGAAGAAACGTCTAGTGCCAGGATAAGAGATTTAACCGGTACAGTAACATATAAGCGGCCATTATTTCCTGGTGTAACAGTGTAAACCCTATCAAATGAACTCAAGTCCTGAATCCATTTAAACTGAGGCCTACGAACTGCCACAGAATAAAGTTCCCCTCCAGTATTTGAGATCTGCATATGCAAAAACATAGAAACATCATCCTAGGAGGCAAGTACAATCTTAAATTAAGAGATGGGAAATTTCTAAAACAGTTGTACTCTTAAAAATGCCTATGCAGTTTACATTAAATTGCATGGTCAAACAAAAAAAAAAAGGCTAAACTACCATTTTAGCAAAGCAATTTCTGAATTTCATTTCCCCTTTCTCTTAGAAATTATATTCAAAATATGAGGTTATTTATGGTAGATTCTTAATGGAGGAATGACAGGTGAGCAGACCTTACATAGACACTAGCCTCACATTGATCAATCACAGGGACTGAAGCAAAATAACAATCTGAAACACCTTTCCTGCAACCTTGCTTGTAGCCATAATGATCTAGCACAGGTCCAGCACTCCAAAGTAGTTGTCCCCGTGTCATATACGCAAACAAACCCCGATTTTTAACATTGATAAACACAGATGACCATAACGTGTTTACAGCAAGCCCAACAATTTCGTCTCCCGGCTGACCAGGTCCAGGATCAAAGAGAACTTGGATCGCAGGTTCTGAAGTTCCAACTTTCATGATATTGATTTGAAGTACCCTGTTTTCTGCAATCAAATATATCTGCCAATATCTTGGTGAAATCAACAATGACTGCATTCAGAAAAAAAAATATATCATTTAAAGTAGTAATATCATTGCTGAGTCCTTACCTTTCCTCTGCCCCCATGAACTGGGGCTTTAGACATGTTGCATTTCAAACTCAAAGGTAATAACCAAGCAATGGAACCATTACTTTCAAATGCTAATAACATCTTCTCAGAACAAGCATAAATTCTTCCACCATCTCCAATTAAAGGCTTCGAAAGCCTGTTAACACTTCTGAAACTTTCTTGACCTGACTCTCACATTCACCCCCAAAAAATGACAATACCATTAGCTTATCAGCATGGCTACTGGTTAGAGACCAGAAAAGAGAAAAAGGGTATGAAAAAGTTTTGTGAAACAAGTTGTATGCAGAAAAAGAATGAAGGAAACAATGGGAAAGTAAAGAGATAAAGAACCTGAAAACAAGAGTGGATAATGTGGGTAATTCTGGGACCATGAGGACTGAGAAAACACCAAATCAGAAGCCACCATGAAGAGGAAGGAGAGAAGGAAAAGTATTGCAGACATTGGGAGACCTGAGAGGAAATTCAGTAGTTGATTTTTGGCAGAGAGGTTGATGAAGTTGCTGCAATTCACATTGGGATAAAAGAGGAGGGAAAAACAGTTTCTTAACTGCCCTGGAAAATTAATATTATCATAATTAATTAATATCAATTATATGTGAAGATAAAAAAAATCAATTATATGTTTTTATTATTTATCGTAATGAAATTAATAATTGCTCGATATGCTTTTTATTTAAAATTTGTATATATAATATCATCAATTATATAATAATTAAGCATTTTAAATATATTATTTAATTAACTAACATATGTTTTTTATTTAAAAAATATATGTTTTTATGCCACATTTATATATTTTATTTAATAAAAATATTTTCATATCATATCAAATTTTTATCCTTTTTTCCTTAATATCCCCTTTTAATCTCTTTTTTCATGAAATATCTATAAAATAAATATATTGAATATTTGAAATTTTTTTAAAAAAAAGCCCAAATTGTATGGTGGAAATCAGGTAAATGAGTTCCAAACAAACATCATAAAACATGTATAAACCCAAAAAACCAATTATCAAAATTAATCATTAAAATTTATTATATATTTATATTATATAATTAATTTTACAATCATTAACGAACATATTTAATGATAAATTCATTAATTATAAAGTATATTTCCAAAAGTATAAGTAACTTATCTATTTCTTAAAATTTTTAAAATTTTATTTTGTGGAATAAGTTCATTTGAATTTTTATACAAAGTTAAAATATTAAAGAAATTCAATGTGTGGTGACAAATTTTTAATTAAAATTTTTATACATTTTAATTTTATCATCTAATAATTTATGAAATTATGAGAAGAATTATATTGTTTTACATTTATTTTTTATTTTTTAATTAGATAATTAGATTCAATAATTTTTATTTGGTTCTTTTATTTACAAATAATGAAAAATGCTCTTTCCAGTATTTATTTTTTCACTTTAAAACTTTTTACTAGATTTATATAGTTGAGTCTCTTACTTTTTTAATTAAAAAAATAAATTTATCTAAGTTTTTAACTAATTATTTAGTAACATGTCTTTTTTAACATTAGAATTATAAATTCATCTATATGATTCATAAGATCAATTTTTAAGTAAAGTTAGTGAAATTTTCTTTTGAATAAATTTTAAAATGCAATTATATTAAAACTTAAGAACATGTTTTTTTTTTTTATATCTGTGTATTTTTGTTTTTATTTATAAGACGTAATTTGATTAAAAGTTTTACAAATAATATTTAGATTAGATTTTAATAGAACGAAACTACTTAAATATAATTAAAATAAACCAATTTTTAAAAAAAATTTAGTTCTAACAATATTTTTATAATGAATTTAAATGTAATGTGATTGTCATGAAAAAATTTTCTTGGATTCAATTGCTCAAAAGTAAATCTCTTAAGAAAAATAGATTTTAAAGCAATTATAAATTATAAGAATTCATAATACATTTTATTATTTAGATTAACAGTACAGCGTATAAGCACATGAGATTGTCACTAACATTTTTTAAACTTAATTTTGCATTTATTTTTTTAATATATAATTTGCACTATTTGTAATAGTAACCAGATATTTTTCTCTCTTTAAATAAATAAAACACATCGTTTATCGAAAAAAATTTTAGATAAAATAAATATGTGATACAAACAATATTTTTTCATTATCAAATAACTAAAAGAACAATAAAACTAATATTTATATTCAAATTGTTATGGCAAAGGAAAAAATTTAATCCATCTTTGTTATTGGGATTTTCATGTTTATATTTAAATTTTAAGTACATTATTAAAAATGAAAAACAAATATGATATTGATGATACAATATAAAATCATATAATTATCAAAATTTTATAAATTTTAATACTATTTAATTATAAAATTAGCCGTGCAGAGCATGGATGTAAAACAATCTAGTATTGAGTGAAAATTATAATGATGAATAGTAATAATCATTTAGAATTAATTGTTTAAATTGTTGAGTATATGTTAGAAGATGCTTTTCACAAACTTGAACAACAATTTTTAGAGGTATGTAATTTTTTTCTTAATATAGAAGAAGCTATAGCATGAAAATAAGGGAAGATATTGCAAGTGTTAAAATTTGAATCTCAAATCTGTTATATGTAGGATTTTAAAAATAATGATATGAACCAATTAAGCCAAGCTTTAGATTCAAATTTTGGTTTTGTATACTTTACTTTGTTTTACTTACAAAATGATATTAGTAGCATAAAGATTAATTGAATCTAGCACTTAAAAGAAATGTGCGTCTCTTGCATCATGAAAACGACGGAATCAGAAGAGAGGCTGTGGCATGGACATACACTGGAGATTGAATAGGAGGGGTATGCACAAGATCAAGTGAGATTCCATGCTAAAGTTTATAGGGAAGATTTTTTTGGACATTCTCGTTCATCTTTCTTGTTTGGAAAGCCTATGTGATTGCCTTCATCGCAAAAGGAGAATTTCATGTCCAGAAAGCCTATCATGCATATCTGGTTTCAGGAAGCTACCATTCTCGACTCCAGAAAAGATACACTAGGAACTATGCAGCAGAGATAGCCCCGAGTCACTAGAAAAATAAAATAATTTTAGGCCAGTTTTACAACTCCATGTCCAGTTGATAGATCTTCTACAGATCTATGTCTCTTGCATCCCTCAAGGAAGCTACGCCATGTAAGGGCATCAGGTGGGAAAGGCATGCTGGCAATAATCTGTTCTGCTTCCTTGAGTTTTCCATGTCTAGCCAGCAAGTCTACCACACAATAATAATGATCCATTTTTGGTTCAAACCCATAGTCACTTTTAATTCTCCTGAACAATTCCATACCTTCTTTCACTAATCCAGCATGTCTGCAAACAGTTAAGATTGAAATTAAAGTGACCACATCGGGCCTAAATCCTAGAAACTCCATCTCTTGGAACCTATCCAAAGCTTCATGATAATAACCGTTGACTCCAAGGGCAGAAATCAAACATGTCCAGGTGATGAGGTTTCTGTTTGCCATTCCATTGAAGATTTTCACTGAACTTTTTAGGCATCCACATTTTCCATACATGTCTATAAGTACATTGCAAACAAATGTGTCACAGAGACTGAAATCAGTCTTTATGATGAGACCATGAACGGAACTTCCCAAAGCCAGGTCACAAAGTTTACTGCAAACAGTTAAAAGGCTAACAAATGTGTAATTGTCTGGATATATTTGAGTCATTTGCATGTGTCTAAAAAGTTCAAAAACGTCTTTATAATGACCATTACGTGCACAAGCTGCAATCACGATATTCCAAGATACAATGTCAGGTTCTTCAAGAACAGAAAGCAGCTTTATTGTTTCATGGTGCTGGCCTACTCTGTTATAAATTCCTGCAGCAATATTAGAGGGCACTAAGGCGAGTGGTCTTTCAAAATCTGTAACAAAAGCAAGGGCATCAGATAGGAGACGGTTTTTAGCATATGAGGTCATGAGGGAGCTCAATACATATACATTATCTTCGTAGCCCATTTTAATAATCAAACAATGAAGCTGTAGTAGCTCTGTGGCCACTGAAGATTTAAGAAGAGCAGAAAATGTAAACTCATTAGGCCGGTAACCCAGTTGCAGCATATCTACCAGTAAAGAAGCAGAAGTAGAGAATTTACCAGCATAACCCAAAATTAAAGCATTCCAAGAAACTACATTCTTTTCATATATACCATCAAAACATCGGTGGGAGTCTTCCAATTTATCACATTTTGCATAAAAGTCAACTAGTGCACTACCTACAAATACATCAGATTGAAAGCCCTTCTTGATTGTTTTGGCATGAATGTATTCTCCTAAATTTGGGATCTGCAAACTACTACAAGAAGCAAGTATAATAACTAAGGTAGTCTGGTTAGGCATCATTCCATCTTTGGACATTTGGAAGAAGAAATCTAAAGCTTTTAGAGGATTCTCATCCTTTCCCAGTGCACCGATAATCGTATTCCATGACACAATATCAGTAATACACATAAGCTCAAAGACTTTTTCAGCTGAGCAGATGCTCACACATTTGGCATACATATTAATAAGAGAGTTTGCGACTGGAACTTCATAATCAAAACCACATTTAATCACTAAGCCATGTATCTGTTCTCCAAATTCCAAATCAAGCTCACCTTTCAACCCAGACAAAACACCCACAAATGAACAGTCAGATAAAGATGCCTCCACCCTTAGAAGCTCACGAAATAAAAGCATACTATCTTCGACCAACCCATGATGCGCACACAAAGAAATGATCGAGTTCCATGTTACCAAACTCTTCCTAGACATGTGTTCAAATGCATCAACTGCCTCAGATACGAACCCATACCTTCCATACAGACCTAACAAAGCAGTGCCGACAAAGTGATCTGCATAGAACAACCCATTCTTGACAACCAATGCTTGCAACTGAACCCCACCAGAAAGATCCAACGACTGAGACGACAACAGTCCGGCCAACGCAAAGGGGCTAGGCCAAAACCCAGAACCCCTCATCAAAGAAAACAATTCCAAAGCAGTGCAAAGGTCCCCAGATTTGCTATAGGCAGTGATGATGGAACTAAAAGATACCACGTTTCTACTAGTCATACTGTCAAACACTTTGCGTGCCACTGATAAATGGCCTAGGGATGCATACTGAGAGATGATGTTGTTGTATAAAAAGATGGGTTGGGAGGCGTAAGGGCCAAGGGTGATGGCGATCGCGTGGAGACGCTTAGTGGTTTTAAGGGAAGGAAATGCAGAGGTAGATTTGAGTAGTTGAAGGAGACGTTGTTGGGGATGTTGATTCATTCATTCAGACGGGAAACTTGTTCCAAGAATAAATGCAGATGATTTCTACATTAATATAGTATCATAGTTGATTTTGAAATTTTGTTGCATAAATAAAAATCTTACCCGCCTTTCTTGTTTTTGGATTAGTATTTAAATTTAATATTTTTGGCTACCAGTATTTACATATTTATTTGATCGAGTTAGAAGTGAAGAATTTAAAGTAGATAAATTATTTAGTCCTTCAAGTTAAAAGTAAAATGTGTCGTATTTGATAATTTAAGATAGATGATTACAGGTCGTGTATTTGAGATGACTCTAACAAATGAGTACCGATAAGACTCAAACTCAAAACCTTTTCTTAAAAAAAAAAAATTATTAAATCAATCAATTATTAGTATATTTACATATTTATATTACATATTTTGTTACTCATAAAACAAAGGACAGTATTATTCATTTTTATTGGCATCTTCTATATTTATATTTTCAAGCTTTTTATTTCTTTTGATAAAAAATTGTAGCTGTAAATGATATTAGAAAAATATTTGTGCGTTGCCGTGTGGGTTAAAATTTTTTTATTTTTTATTTTCATTCATCAAAATATTTAAAATTTATTTAATTAAAAAATAAATAATAAACGAGAATAATACATAAATATCATCAACAAGTGATTGATTTAATCAGTTAAAATTTATTTTTTTAATTAAAAAATTTTGGATTCGAATTTTGTCAGTGATCACTTGTTATGATTATTTTGAATGCACAATTTGTAACTACTTGTTTTAAGCTATTAGATACGATATATCTTATCTTGATCTAAAAGATTAAATAACTTATTTACCTCCAAATTTTTTCTAAAAAACAAAAAAAAAAAATACCATTATTTTTTAGTTTTCCTTCCGTGTGGTTGTTTAAATTAGCCTATAGGTTTGTATTATTTCTTTGATTTTAGCCAAAAAGATGTATAGCTCGTAATTGCATGTGAACATCATTGAGACCAAGATCCGAGCATCAACATACAAAGTTAAAAGGTAATTTTGGGTTTAAGGTCGCACGGATACAAAATTTAAAACCAAAGCTCGTAATACATGTGCGTGTGTCAAGAGTCGAAACTTTAAGCTTCGAATTCGCGTGACTTCTAGATCCGGACATTCATCATTTCGACGTTTCAGATCAGTCTTTCTGTCACGGTTTACACCCTTGTAAGGTATTGTCCGCTTTGGTCCTCCTGACTTCACGAATTTGTCCTACAAAAAGGACCTCACAACACGAAGATGGTGTGAACCCTTATATATCTCATATATTATATTCGATGTGAAATTCAAGATTCTTTCTTAGGTCCGTGACATTTTTTCCCACCCAACTTCGTGACGTCCTCGTCACAGAGGTTGGTCACTCTGCCTACCTCTCTCGAGGTGCTTGACGTGGATCGAACGGTTTAGGGTTGGCTCTGATACCACTTGTCACGGATCGAGACTTAAGCTCCGAACCCGCATGGCTCCGGGACCCGAGCATTTACCCTTCCGACGTATCAGATCAACCTTCCTGTCACGGTTCATACCCTTGTGAGGTATTGTCCGCTTTGATCCCCTAACCTCACGGTTTTATCTTACAAAAGACGTCTCACAAGACGGAGGTGGTGTGAACCCTTATATACTCCAGTAACCCTCTTATTGTGTTCGATGTGAGATTCAAGACTCTTCCTTAAGTCCGTGACACGTGCACTACAGGACCATACCACCTTTGATGAAAATAACAATTATGCTCAAATCTAATAATATAGGCATAAACAAATAGAATATGAATAAATTTAATTTAAATTTTTTGAATTCAATCAAAGTTGATAGTTGCAAAATTTTAATTTTTAATTATATAATAACAATTTTTATTTAAAATTTAAAATAAAAGTTAAGGATCAAGTTTTAAAAAATTATAGGATCTCACTTGTGATTTTATTAAGGGCTTCACGTATTTTTTTCATATATGTCACAAGAAAGATAAGTGCAATTTAAGGGAAAAATAATAATTTCATTTAATCAACACTAAAAATGCAAATTATTATTTTTTTATAAGAGATTCAATTAATTGAAGATTGGGATTGGTTATCTGATCAATCCCAATTCAATATCTTCAATTGCAGAAAATGAGAATTTGAAAATTTAAATAAAATTAATTATTTGATGTTATGAATATGTTCATATGCTTGGCAACAAGGCATATAATTGCATTGACAAAGAAGCCTCAGTCATAATTGTTTTTCACCTCTTGATTTAATGGTTAAAAGGGCTTTAAAAAAAATATACGTGCATGAGTTCTAATCCTGTTATCTTCTTTTTTTTTCTTGTACTAACGTTTATCCTCCTTTGAGCCAAAAAAAAAAAATCCATAATCTTATTATCCCTCTTCATTTGTGATTAATTTACCTTTCCATTGTTGGTTACCTTTTCTCATATATATAGATTTTAGATTTAGAGTTTAAATGATTATTATAAAAAAAAATTAGACTATAAAAATATGGTTTATGTGATAATATGGGTTTTGAATCAAGAATAGGTTGAAATAATTAAAATTTGAAATTGATTTTTTTTATTCGGATTGATTTAAAAAAAAAATCGATTTTCATATGAAAAAATTTAATTCGAATAATTTGGTTTGATGAAATCACAATTTCACAAAATCGCAACAAAATTTTTTAAAAATCAAAATAAAATTAACCCTAATACAAGATCTGAATTGATTTTTTATTTTATTTTATTTTTTCTTAATACTATAATAGCTACCATTGTTGGATTCTTATTTGACTCTTTTAACTTTTAATGTAAGCTTTTTTGTGGTTGATATTTGTATTTATATTTGACCAAAAAACTATTTGTGTTTGTATTTTTTAAATAAAAATGTACATAACAAAAGGATTTTGATAAAGAACATCTTGTTAAAAATAATTAAATTATTATTATATTAATATTTTTTTGGGTACAAGAGAAATCTATAGTAATATTTTATATTAAATACAATAGTTAATAGTTTTTTTTTTTTTCATAAATTTCAATGCATTGAAAAAAATAATTTACTTAATAACTAATTTAATATGGTAATCATAAAAAAAATAACTTAATATGATAATCATAAAAATACTTTTAAATCCGTAGTAAAATATCAACAAAACAAGACTTTATAATACTCTTTTATTCGTAATTTAAAAGAAAATTGGGGGAAAGTGGCATGTCAACCAAAAATTAAAAATAATTTAACATCATCCTTGAATATATAAAAATTAAATATTTAAAAGACATAAAACTATTTTGATATAAATCAATGGCTTTTTTTCATCTATCTTTCTTTTTATATACTAATACCAACTCTCAAGGCTAATTATAATCTAAAAAAAATTTAAAATATATGTATTTATTACCTAATGTCTACGATTTGAGTTAATTTGATTTAATTCTGATTAAATTAATTACATTTATTTTAATATTTTAATTTCTTAATTAATTTTATTCTAACCAAATTAATTACATTTACTTTAATAGATTAAATCTCTTTTAATTAATTTTAATTCTTAATTTAATTTAATTTAATTTTACTTACATTAATCACATTTGTTTTTAATAGCTTATATCTCTCTTGATTCACAATTCATAAGTATGTTAGAAAATTCATAAATATATTAAAAATATACATAAATAACGGTTTTAATGTTCCGTTTATAATCATAATTTTTTGTTATACCATTATTTGTAAACACGATACGCTATTGTTTCTGTTAATGATAATTCACACTTCTATTGAGATAAATAACGGAGATGGAGGACGACTGCTGGACTAAATTGCGGATGCTACTTAAATCCATGCTAATAGTGGAACGAAACATTTTTCTTAAAAATGAACACCTTGAAGCATCAGGTGCTTACTGGAGACAAGAACCCCATTTGGTTGAGTGCATAAACCCAGCTTCTCACATCTTGATGACTATCTAGTCTCTAATCCAAGCTATTTCCAAATCAATTACTCAATTAACAACGCGATTTTCTTAGCAACCAAACAACTTCGTTTTCGATTACTTATTTCTTTTTTATTTCATAAATTCCAAATGAAGGAATCATTAACAGCTCGAATTTTTCTGAACAACCAAACAAGAATGATCAGAAAATAATTCAATAATTTAAAAAACAGAAAAGTTACCTTTGAGATTTTGAGTTTTTGTTTGCGTTTTGGAGATAGAGATTCAGAAACCGTTTGGATCAGAGCAAAGATTAGGGAGTGAGTGACGATCGAAGAGCGCTTTCTATTCTTGGCACCTTTTTTTTTTTTTTGGTGGATTTAAATGTCAACTGCAAACAACGGATCAATTACTTAAGCTGGGCAGAGGTTATTTTTGTAATTAAGTTCTTAAACTGAACGCCGGCGCCAAACGTTTTTCCAATTAATATATGCGGCAAGCGCGAACCATGCAATTACTAGATGGAATATTTGTATTTGTATTTTATTTTAATTTATTCCTCTTGCAATTTATTAAACATTTTTTCCAAAAAATTTGCAACATAAAAAATAGAAAAATAGAAAAATAAATTAATTTTTACTGTAATAAAATAATAATAATTTTCAAAACAGGTTTCTTTCTAAACTTTTAGCTTTTGTAAACAAATCTTCACTTCTTAATTATTTTAATCACAAAACAACTAATTATACTTCATCATAACATATTCATATCTTATAATTTTATAAAAAACAATGGACTATTATTTTATAAATTATTATTTAAATAAAAAATAAATTTGTTACATTCTTTTTATATAATCTATTTGGAGTTTTTTTATACTTGATGATCCATTTTTCTATAATATCACACTAAATATAATAATTTAAAATCACTAGAAATCTAATCACCTTAATAATTCTATGTGAAATTAAATCTTGAACGATGATATAGAAAATCAAACTAGACATTATCTTAAATCCAAACTTAATCAAAACACGAATAGAAGTTTGTTTCGCTATGGCATTGAAAGGATAACTTACTCAATGATAATAACATTACATGGGCAACAAAATTTTTCCACCACATGCTAATTGAAATTTCTCCACGAGTCTTATCTCTT